TGTATATACCATATCCCTGTATTTACTTTGTCTGATAAATGTATATTGATTTACGACCAGATTACTAAAAATAGATTATTATTATTATTCTAAAAAAGGAATGAATCCATAATTTATTTGGATGAGATACATTCGATGTTGTTCTCTTCTCTCTTTTTTTGTTCCCCCTCTTTTTTTTCAATACTAAAAGCATTTCATCAATCGCTTTGATTATTTCTGACAGTAATTGGATCAAGTTGTAGAGTCAACATAGAAGTTATTAATATTATTACTATTACTATGGATACTATAGTATGAGTATAATTAACTCATAAAGTTTTCCAGTGTAAAATAACACAAAAAAAAATGCACGTGACTGTTTGAAATACCAATCAGTTGATTAGTTTGTGATGGTAACACAATGATAGTGAGATATTTATTCGATAAAGGTAATAATCAACACTTAAATGAATTAGAAATTACGGTGAGATTAGAATTTATGGATGATCTTTCAATGACACTAAAATGATCTTGAGATTGTTCATCTAGTAACTAAGACTAAATAAGGATGATAAACTTGTGTGAGGAATTAGAATTATGATTTACAGTTTTCATCACTAAACTGACATCAGCTATAATGTTGAAACTCTATTTTGTCAAATGGATGAGTGAATTTCGCGTCAAAATCCGAGATCTGTTATCTTATTCCTGATGAGTTCGTCTTACCGAAATTACAAAAGTATTTTTCACTGTCCTATTGAACGATATTCCTTTAAAAAAGTCTCAAATAAAAAGAAGGTGATGGATAGCGACTAGTAGTGGAATCCAGGACGCGCGTTTCGTCCTATTTGGGACTCATCAGCTGGATGTACCTGCACTTCCGAGTTGGTGTTCACTCTGAGACTCGAACTCAGTACCATTCGCTTCAAATGCCATCGCGCATCCTGGATTCCACTGCTATCCACTATCCATCATTGCTTACAAATAGCTTGTGGATTAAGGGAATATCGAGGCATACGCACTGTATGCACATATACCAATAACACACTGATCAATTGCAGTCTTAAACCTCAATGAGAAGATACAAACCAAACAATTCAAAATGAATTAGAAAGAAGATGGTTGGATAGATGTAAATGTCTTGAAATGTTTTCGATGATAACACATATTGATTCACGTTTCTTGTTTTAGATCAAGTATAAATGGATCTATTGTATGATGACTCTAGAAATCATAGTTAACTTTTAGGACTATTTATTTTTAACGTTGACGAAAGTATCATCTAGATTCAAATGTAATGTCTAAAACTGTAGTTTGTAATGAGTTTTATCATGGATAATATAATTTAATGGTTCTATATCTGACTCCGTTTAGATCGTATAAATGATAGTTTTATCGAATGATTACTGTCCTCGTATATAATCATCCACTTAAATCGCTTTAGTGTATAACGGGATCGAACAAGTCGAATAAGAGAATAAAGTTTTGAATATGTATATTTCATACAATCATTGATCCGGACGAACAATCAGAGTAAAGAAGTGAAGAGAGTGAAGCGAAATGACGCACAGTGAAAAGGGCGTATAAGCCAACTCGATTTATCCTAGCGTTAATCGATATTTATAGCCGAACAACAAATAAGTTACAGGCATGTGATGAATAAAATAAGAAGTGCACACATATACGCTCATATGAAAACGGTGAAGGTTGATAAGCGAATAATTAACAAGGTCAAAATGTAGCTTCAGAAGAATGGATAAATTGGTTTGTCTGAATGCCAGAATAAATTATATGGGCTTAACATAGCAACTGATACTACAATAACATTATGATTAGTAGAGAATTTAATAACCGTTTACGATTTACCTGGGTGATTCTTTTTTACTGTGGTTGTGTTATATCTAGCACAGCATGCACCAATCCAATCACAATTGACGGAGAAGATTTGGAAGATGTAAAAACCTTTACATATTTGGGCAGCATCATTGATGAACAGGGTGGATCTGATGCAGATGTGAAGGCGCGGATCGGCAAAGCAAGAGCAGCATATTTACAACTGAAGAACATCTGGAACTCAAAGCAACTGTCAACCAACACCAAGGTCAGGATTTTCAATACAAATGTCAAGACAGTTCTACTGTATGGGGCAGAAACCTGGAGAACTACAAAAGCCATCATCCAGAAAATACAGGTGTTTATTAACAATTGTCTACGCAAAATACTTCAGATCCATTGGCCGGACACTATTAGCAACAACCTACTGTGGGAGAGAACAAACCAGATCCCAGCGGTGGAAGAAATCAGGAAAAAGCGCTGGAAGTGGATAGGACACACATTGAGGAAAGCACCCAACTGCGTTACAAGACAAGCCCTCACATGGAATCCTCAAGGCGAAAGGAAAAGAAGGAGACTAAAGAACACATTACGCCGAGAAATGGAGATAGACATGAGAAAAATGAACAAGAATTGGATGGAACTAGAAAAGAAGGCCCAGGACAGAGTGGGTTGGAGAATGCTGGTCTGCGGCCTATGCTCCATTGGGAGTAACAGGCGTAAGTAGTAAGTAAGTAAGTAAGTAGTGTTATATCTAGAGCTTAGATTCTTAAGATACCGTGTTCAACTTGAGCACTCGAACGCTAGAACTGTCCCAAGTCGCAAATAAAAAGATAGAAGAAAAGTGAAAGGAATGTTATTTCAAACAGTGTCAAGTATGCCACAAATTGTCATGTATTTATAGCCATTAGTAAAATAGAAATCATCATTATAATCATACAAACTGCAGATAGGGGTTTTTTTAGCATTTGTCCGATAGGGAAGCTCCACATAGGGATTCTGGAATATTCTTCCAAAAGATGATTGAGTGGAATATCTTCGACTCTTTCTAAGCTTCTTAGAACTTCCACGAGCTCACTTATAGGCCGTCCTCATAGGTTATAAATCAATAAATAATTTAATAACGAATTAGCTAAAATGGATGACTTGACTTGTACTACATAGAATACGAGTTGAATAGATTTTTCACAGACAAATTAGGATAATTAAAAAGATCATAATCTTTTTATTCATTTGGTAAATGTAACTTCGAAAATCAGAGCAAAAAAAGGTTAGGGAGAACCAACTAAAATAAACATCCAGACAATGACAGGACAACAGTCAATTACAGATCAAGGTTGACATAATAAACTGTTAGTTGTATATAGACAAGTTCGTGTATTACACTTTTATATAAAGTTTGTTCTTATGCTATCTAGTAGGACAATGTATGTTACGGAAGTAAACCAATTAGATCAGTCAGACAGTCAGTCAGTTACAACGTAGGACCAGGCACATACATGCATCGGTTCAAGTTGCCACACCTCATTAGCACAGCAAGATGAGCACCGGATTCATAGAATCAGTTAACTGAATGGTGTAATATATAGAGGAAAGATTTTATGTAAGGACTCTGTAGACCGAGAGGTTCTGTGACAGTGTCTTTCATTGAAAGGTGTACCTCAGAAGTATATAAACCTTGTGAAGACTCTTTACTTGAACACCACTAGTCGAGTGAGAGATTATGGCGAACTGTCATTTGCTTTTGCAACCTCATATGGTGTCCGTCAAAGCTGTTTACTTTCTCCAATTTCGTTTAAATTCATCATAGACATACTGATGGAAATAACGCTCTCATCGACTGAATTTTCGGGCATTGATCTCCTTCCAGGAGGTCCACTTATCGACTTAGAATACGCAGATGATATAGACCTGTTTGGTGAAGACGCTGATAAAATGCAGAGTCTTTTGATAGCACTGAGCTATGAATCTTCTTTAGCATGTTGAAATTAATAAGTACTGATATTGATCTGTGGTGAATGTTGTGTTAATCTAGGCTTTGATACTCAATGAATTCTATCGATCAAGTTGTATCGTGACGATTAGTTTAAATGACTTAGCATCATAAGAATGATATTTTTGATGAGGACAACAACAAAGATTTGAGAAGAATAACATGAGTTTATTTTATTTCGTGAATTGGTTGGAGTTAGACATTAACACCTTTGGATGCCAGCTCAGTGGTCTAAAGATTAAGCGTTCTTACGCGACACCGATAGATACTTGGTTTGGATCTCACGTGTGGAATCGTGGATGCGTACTTCTGAAGAGTCCCACAATAGGACGAAACGGTCATCCAGGTTTTCCATGGTGATCTAGCTTCAAATGACTCGTGAATTCAACCATTAAGATTACTACAATCTTCAGAAATCTCTATTCTGATAATATTCATCATGTGTCCACTAGTGACTGGCTTCAAGATGTATTTCCTGGACGTCTAGTGAGAAGCCATCACCAATGGATTTCAACTAGGTCTGTTGTAAAATAGTAAATCACTGAAGACAATGATGGATGTGTCGTTCAATTACATGAATTAGTTGAAGTTGACATTAACACCATTGGTCTAGAAGTTAGGCGTTCACGCTCTAGACAGATAGGTCCTGGGTTCGAATCTCGTGAGGTGGAATCGCGGATGCCCACGTCTAAGATGGAATCCCATACTAGAATGAAACAACCATCGAATGCTTCCAGATTTTCCATAGTAGTTTTAATGTTGATCAAATTTGAAGTTCATTCACATTATTCTTATATTAAAATGATTTATTTTCAGATATTTTAAATAGTAATATATTACTTTAAATAGACAAATATCTATTTCAATAGTTGAAATCATGAATCAATTGAAGCTAGACCACCATGGAAAACTTGTAAGCACTGGGTGGCCATTTCGTTCTACTATGAGACATCTCATCAGTGCATATCCACGATCCTGCCCTCCTGCGAGATTCGAACCCAAGACCTACCAGTCTCGCGTGCAAGCGCTTAACCATTAGACCACTGAACTGTCATCCAATGCTTCCAGATTTTCCATGGTAATCTAGCTTCAATTAACTCATGATTTCGACTATTGAAATAGTCTATTTGCTCAAAAATTTTACATTTACTCTTCTATATTGAGATATATTTAATTAGTTAATAGTTTCCTAGTT